GGGTTAACCACAGCTGGCTCAGATAGGCAGCGGTTAACCAAGGCCGTTACCGGAGGGCAGGGTGTAACCAATGCCCAAAGCAAGTACAACTGAGCAAGGAACCCAGGGTGGCCTGGATTTAAATAGGGGAGAGGGAATGGGAGCCCTCCAATAAGGAAGGGTCTCTGGGTCCATATAAATGCAGGCCCCATATAAATGCAGGACCTTCTGGGAGAGATGGTGTCCACGCCCCTCTATGCAGGTGGGATGCTATGCACATTCATCTCGCTGACCCCCTTGCTGCTCATATACATGCTGAGATCGATCCCCTAGGGTTCTGTTATTATGAGTGGATCCTGGAGCAGTGTGGGAGACACTGAGCAAGAAACCAAACAGATTCACAATCATTGTGGACATAAGTGGAATTGCTGGCATGCCCTTTTAGGCCCAGCCATACCCACAGAATCAGTAAAGGCACACATTTCAGGATGCTTGGAGATGCTCCACAAACAGTGCATATACAAACAAAGCACATTTTTAACCCCTTAAGGATTGCGAGCGTTCTATGCAGTCCTTTTTTAGGCGGTCCTAATCGCCGGCGGGCAGCATAGAGCGTCCCCGCTGTCCTTCATACTTGCACTTGCCGAAATGCATCAAAAAGTTCCGAAAAGTCCCAAAACCGCTGCAAAACATTTCCAGAATGGCTCCAAAACTGCAAAAAGTTGCTCCAACACCTCCACACTCGACACCACGTGCTACCCACAGACTCCAGAATGCATGGGGCGGCGCTATAAACCTCCCAGGCTGCAGCATGAGGGGGGCTGGCGCTACTGGTGGCGCCCCTACCCAAGGGGCGCCCTAGGCGGCTGCCTAGTCTGCCTAACAGGTAGCGCCGGCCCTGGGGACAGAGTATATAATATATCTAGTTCGTTATCATGCTGTAAATAGGGAAAAAGACCGGGATCAAAAACAAAAGAATATAGATAAGGTCAACCACCCCATGAACTCTTGATAAATACTCACCTGTCTGATATATATCGGGACAACAAAGACCTTAATTATACAACCGATACCCTGAGAACTTAATTATAGGAGTAATGGAAGATACACAATGGTAAATAGGGTGACACAAAGGTTACCACTTGACACAAAGGTTATTTCAAAAGGAAATAATTATTAGCCAGGTTAATCAAAATGTGTGTCAAGAAAATGATAAATGAAATTAAATATAAAAATAATGAAAAATGGAGTGTCACTTGACATCAAAGATGTTTTAATGAAATGTAATTTATTAGCCAGATTCATATAAATGTGTCAAAAGAATACAAAATATAAATAAACATGGACACAATATATAACAATAAACACAAAAATTGGTTAAATGGAATATACTAGCTAGCCATATTAATAAGAATATATGGCAAAAGGATAGAAAATAGCTGATTTGGCATAGTCTCTTAATGTATCAGGAATAATGATGGTTATACTAATATTAGATAAAAAGTACACTAGAGACTAAAAAATGCTACAAATATCAGCAAGTATCTATAAATGAAAAATTTAATGAAGATCAAGGGTATGACATTAGCTGCTATGATGGTATATATACTAGGTATCTATTTTTTCGTAAAGGGAAGACTGGCTACAATTAAAATAAAATTCATAAATGTCACTCAAAGGGTATATTGTACTGTCACTTGCGTTAAAGATCTGAGAGGAAAAGGCTTAAATGAATTTGGTCACTTAAAAGATCATATAGATCTTGGATATTAGAGGTATCTCATAAAGTAAATTTCTAATAATCAAATAAACAAAAAAATGGATGTATGTAAGTAAATCATTTTCCAAGTCACGAAATGTAAATACAATTCCTAGAACTATGTAGAGGGTGTTATACTGTTAGAGATCACTGATAAAGGGAGAATAAGAGAAACCCTCATTCAACCCTATAGGAGACAGAGTATTTAGGCGGTAGATGCAAAAACACTCTCTTCTCTTCAGAAGTTTATCCAGGTTCCCTTTCCTTTGATCAAGTTTGACCAATTCTATGCCCAGAAATTGGAGTACAGAGTGGTCACCTTGATGGAAATTTTTAACATTTCTGGATACTGTAGTTTCAATATGTCTGTTAGTTTTAATCAAATTTATATGCTCCAGGATCCGTCTTTTAAACAGCCTGAAATTCTTACCTACATATAGTTTGTTGCATTTGCATCTTATCAAATAAACTAGATCCTTGGTGTTACAGTTGAAAAAGGAGTTCGGATAAAAAGTACTGAGCACTATTTTGAACATTTTTGGAATCTTTACAAATGAAGTTACACGCTTTGCATTGACCGCATTTGTGAGTTTTTTTGATAACCAATGAATAGAAATTGTTTTGGACTGTTTGAAGTGGCTGTGTACAAGGGCATCCTTGATGTTCTTGCCCCTTTGTGCTATAAGAGCTACATTTGGGGGGATAACCTCTTTGAGATGTTCATCTTGTTTGAGCAGGGGCCAATATCTATTTAAAATAGACTTAACCTGGTCCCAACCAGCATCATACGTGGCGATGACTCTCAGATGTTTAGAGTCAAGATTATTGTGACTAGGGGATGGTGATACATCCTTTATAAGACCCTCTCGATCAGTCAAAAGGGCTCAATGATAGGCCCGTTTTAAACATTTGTGTGGGTATCCTTTTGCTCTAAACATTGCACGTAATTCTCTTGATCTCATTTTGAAATCCTGAACATCAGAACAATTGCGCCGCAGGCGCAGATACTGTCCGGTTGGTATACCTCTTTTTAATGGGGTCGGGTGGTAAGTTCCCCAATTAAGTAGGCTATTAGTAGCCGTACTTTTTCTGAAGAGGTCAGTTTTGATGATGCCATTTGTCTCAGGGATTAGGGTAAGGTCCAGAAAGTTGAGACTGGGTTTGCCCATTTCAGATGTAAATCTTAAATTAAGATTATTGTCATTGAGTAGCTGTACACAGAGAATCAAACCTTCCGTAGTGCCGCCCCAAACGATCATAATATCATTGATATACCTCTTCCAAGAGAGGATATATTGGATGAATTGATTGGCGTGAGCTGTAAACACTACTTTTTCTTCCCACCACCCCAGGTGTAGGTTAGCATATGAGGGCGGACAAGACGTCCCCATAGCCGTACCCTGCACCTGGTGGTAGTATATGCCATCGAACAAAAATAAATTGTGGGTTAGTACAAAGTGTAATAGTTCGATGACAAATTCACTGTGTTGATACAAGTGCAGACCCCTCTGTTGTAGAAAATACTGTACATGTTTGAGCCCTATAGAGTGGGGGATCAAGCTGTAGAGTGCCTCCACATCTAGGCTACAAAGCATAGAATTAATAGGCATATTAAGGGTATTGAGATGTGCCAAAGTTTGTTTGGTATCCCTTAGGTAAGAGGGAAGCTTAGCCACTAGGGGTCGTAAGATGTGATCTAAATATATACTAACATTCTGTGTCAAGTTATTATTTCCTGACACTGTAGGTCTACCCGTTAGATCTTGATATTTTTTATGGATTTTGGGTAGACTATAGAATGTGGATATACGTGGATTTGTATTGAGCATAAAATCATATTCTTTTTTGGATATCAAATTATCATGAAGTCCCCTTTGTAAAATTTGTTTAAATTTTCCCAAAAATGCTTTTGTCGGGTCTGTTTTTAATACTTTATATGTTGTAACATCAGAAAGAATTTTCTTAAACCAGGGAAGCCCCCTACTACATGCCAAAACTTTAGACCAATATCCCTGCTCAACGCAGATGCCAAATTATACGCTAAAATTCATGCCGATCGCCTTAAATCAATATTGCCCTCTATAATCCACGCAGATCAAGTAGGATTCGTTGCAGGCAGACAGGGACCAGAAAACACTAGGAGGGTCCTCGACATATACCATCGCCTAAAGAAGACCAAACAAGAAAGCATCATGCTCTCCCTGGACGCGGAAAAGGCGTTTGACCGCCTAAACTGGCACTTCCTACCTGAAACCCTGTCGCTCTACGGCTTCCCACCACCCTTCCTATCAGTGGTAAAGGCCCTATATAGCAACCCCACAGCAATAGTGCTATCCTCAGGTTTCTGCTCAAAGCCCTTCCCGATTACTAATGGCACCCGCCAAGGATGCCCTCTGTCATCACTTTTGTATGTCCTAGCATTAGAGCCCCTTGCCATAGCCATCCGCAAAAACCATGACATCCGAGGAGTTTTTGTGGGCCAAACAGAACATAAACTCAACCTCTTCGCGGATGATATCCTACTCACACTTAGCCAACCACTTATCTCGCTTCCATCCCCACACCGGGAATTACAGGCATATAGCCGTCAGTCATATTATAAATTGAACATCACTAAAACACAAGCGATGTGCCTTAATGTCCCTCAACCCACGGAAGAGATTCTGAAATCAGACCACGACTACGACTGGCGAACGGACCATCTAACATTCCTAGGCATCAAAATAACTAGCAAACCGAGTGAACTATTCCCAGAGAACTACGCAAGACTGATGAAGGAAATTGAAAACCAACTACACAATTGGAAAAATCGTTTTCTTTCATGGGTAGGGAAAATAGCGGCAATCAAAATGACAATACTACCCAAGATCCTGTATCTCTTCCGAACCTTACAAATCAGAGTACCCCAAAGCTACCTGACCAAACTACAAGCTATCCTCTTACGCTTTAGCTGGGGAGGAAAGCATCCCAGAGTCCCAAAAGCTCTACTCTTTCGACACGTAAAACATGGAGACATGGGACTCCCGAACCTGAAGGCATACTACCAAGCGGCCCTCCTCACAAATGTCATATGCGCACACTCGCCCTCACACAACCCTCAATGAGTGGCATTGGAAAGTCAGTTCTGCTACAACAAGGACCTCCCTTCCCTACTATGGACACCCCCACACATGAGACCCCAAACCCTGGACATGCTACCCACTACCAGACTACTGATCTCTACATGGGACGCCCATAGAAGCAAACTATGCTCGGCCCACCCATGGGCCCTGGCTGCCCCATCAAGACCTTACATCACTGCAACGGTACATTCCCGCACAAGGAATGGAACGAGAAGAGCATTACACATCTATACCACCTCTACACAACTGAAGGTCTAAAACCCTTTCCAGACCTACAAGCAGAGTACGAACTTCCCTCGAACTTCAAGTTCGCTTACCTCCAAATAAAAACGCTGCTCCCAGAAAACACGGTCAGTACAAGAAAACAGACTCTACGAGCCTCAGTAACAAAGTTTGAATTACAATGCATAGCGACGACACCCCCAAAGAAAACACTGTCAAATTGTTACTACCTCCCCAAAATTGGAATTAGCAATTGACTGGAAGTTCATGAGAGACTGGCAAAGAGATTTCCAGAGACAAATAACCCTGCAATAACCCCGCAAGACAATCTTCACGGCACACGAAGGACTGACCACCTGTGCTACCCACTTCGAGACAGCACAAAAAATACTCTATAGGTGGTACATGGTACCTTCCCGACTACATTCCATATACCCTAACACAACGGACATATGTTGGCGCTGTAATTCACAAGCAGGCACTATGCTCCATATGTGGTGGTCCTGCGAGACATTAAACAAGCTTTGGAAAACCACCGAACACCTGATCTGAGAAATCACAGATTACACCCTACCACACGACCCAGCAGCAGTGCTTCTCAAGTTATTTCCAGATAACATCCAAACCAATACGGAAAATGATATTCCTTATACTCAGCACAGTGTCCACCCTGATAGCCAGGAACTGGAAGACCCCCATTCTTCCTTCAGTCTCAGAAATCACAACCCTAATGTCTGCAACAGTAGACTATGAACTCCTTATGTGGAACCAAATGAACATAGGGAAACTAAGCCCAACCATTGCTGAGATGTGGAGAAACCACCTACAAAGGTCAACAACACTAAGGCTAACATGACCAAGAAAAATTTTACCAAATCAGACCCCGACTAGGTCTAACATCCCACCACAGCACCTTGCCAAACATAATAACGCTTCCTGGTACCGCACCAAATACCCCCTTGTGACCCCATCCACACACCTTCCCCAAGCTCTCCCCCCCCCCCACCTCCTCCACCGGCTCTGACACCCTAGACAAGGATGTCCTGGTAGAGCTACATATCTCAGCTACTATCCACAGATCATCCCACGACCACAGCCATCTCGCAAACACTCAACAGATACTGAGCAACGAGACCCCCAAACGGAACCACGGAAAGGACACAAATACAAGACAGTTCACAGGCCCCCCAATACTAACAGACATGTTAACCACTGACCGTTTGAATCACGCAAAGGACCCCCCCCCACATAACTTATGGTCCCTAATGTGTTACAGCCCCCAACCCAAAAGCACTGTAATATGTGTAAAAATTTATGTATTACTTACAAACAGTATCAGGATGCACAATTCCGTAATGTCCCCCTCCCCTTTGCCTTCTGTACCCCATAATACTTGAAAATAATAAAGAACAAGTTATAAAAAAAAAAAGAAAGAATTTTCTTAGTGATTGCAACATAATTAATGGTGTCTAGGATTACAATATTTCCCCCTTTATCCAAGGGTTTAATAGGTATCTCCTCTCTTGCTTGAAGGTTTGTTTAAAGCTTTTAATTCGACATATGATAAGTTAGAATTAGGTTTGAAGGTGAACTTCAGGGGAAATAAGCTATCGATTTCTTTGCAGACCATTTCCAGAAAGGTCTCTACATACTTCGAATCTCCCATTCTTGGGCAATATTCGCTCCTACGGCTAAGGTCTGTAAGGGGGCATTGTTCTCTTTCAAGGGGGTCACTTTCTTCTAGTAACTCTGCTAGCATTAGAGTGAGCTGATAATCCCTGGGTTCAAGGCCCAATGCTTTGGCCTTTTTTTTTCATTATTTTGAGCATGTGTTTTATGAAGTAAAAGCTTTCGGGCAAATAAATGGATATCTTTAAAGGAACACTATAGTCACCTAAATTACTTTAGCTAAATAAAGCAGTTTTAGTGTATAGATCATTCCCCTGCAATTTCACTGCTCAATTCACTGTCATTTAGGAGTTAAATCACTCTGTTTCTGTTTATGCAGCCCTAGCCACACCTCCCCTGGCTATGATTGACAGAGCCTGCATGAAAAAAAAAACTGGTTTCACTTTCAAACAGATGTAATTTACCTTAAATAATTGTATCTCAATCTCTAAATTGAACTTTAATCACATACAGGAGGCTCTTGCAGGGTCTAGCAAGCTATTAACATAGCAGGGGATAAGAAAATCTTAATTAAACAGAACTTGCAATAAAGAAAGCCTAAATAGGGCTCTCTTCACAGGAAGTGTTTATGGAAGGCTGTGCAAGTCACATGCAGGGAGGTGTGACTAGGGTTCATAAACAAAGGGATTTTACTCCTAAATGGCAGCAGATTGAGCAGTGAGGCTGCAGGGGCATGTTCTATACACCAAAACCGCTTCATTAAGCTAAAGTTGTTCAGGTGACCATAGTGTCCCTTTAACCCAGGTAAACTTATCAAATCGTGGAACCGGAACAAAAGATAGACCTTTTTCCAGTAACTCAGACTCCACCTGGGTTAAAGTATACTGTGATAAATTCACTACTTGATCTCTCTCTAAAATCGATTTCTCCGATGAGATTGTCTCTTGGGTCTTGGTCTTCGAAAGGGGCGATCCTCGCCCTGTGTCATTTCTAAAAAAGTGACTTCTTTTTTGAGGATACCTCTATTCTGTTCATTAGAGGTAGATGGGGCAGGCTGAGAGTCCGTATCAGAGCCACTTGTCTCATATTCAGAGGTAGATACTTGGACTCTATCTACTTTTCTCCTTCTTTGGAACTTTTTATAGCTATTACCAGTTTTAAAGTCCCTATAGTCTCTTAGAAATTTCTGATGTTTCCTTTGTTTAATGACAGCCTGGTATCTCTCTAGATTGCTCTGTAATTTACTTTCATTAGGGGCAAAGGTGGGGTCATATTTAAATTGATCAATCTTATCAATTTCTTTATCCACCTTTGTCTCTATGTCTTGTAATTATTTCTTCTCATATTTACAGATGATTTCCATAAAGCGGGCCGAACATTGACCTGCCGCTTCCTCACATTCTTTAATGAAATCATCCTCATCAATGTGGTTAGAAGGTGTTGTAGGGACTGTCAAACCTCTAGGTATAAGGCCCTTTTAAAGGTAATTCTTAAGCGAGGCAATTTCCCAGCTTGTTCTTATCTGCTTTTTATAAAGGTTAGAGAGTGTATTAAACCCAGCAGTAAGTGCATAATTAGGTTCTTCAATATTCAAATTAGATTCAGAGAACACCAGGTCTGCATCTAGACACCAAGTAGAGGGGTCTTTTTTTATTTGAGAGAAACCCAGCCATGTTAAGAATGATTTAATCAAGTGATCTCTAACAAGCTGACCTAAGTGGTAAAGGGTCTTAAACCCTATAAAATTCTTAGATACGAAAAGATAGATATGTGTTCAAATCTCACAGGATGTAAGTGACAAATGTGAACAGCAAGGTCTCATACATTACTAAACATTGATAGGTATAAAGATTGTATTTTTGGTGTGTTTGTATATATGGTTTATAGCACTCCGATACCTAGCCTTAATGACAAAAAATTCTATTTGAGTTCCATACGTACTCCATAATAACTTAATGGCTAAATATATACATTTAAGTCAGTTTTTTCCCCCACAATATTGGGGATAATTTATTATCAGAAGGACAGTAATATCCCCATACTGAGTCCATCAAGTAAGATTTTTAGCCATAATTGCAGAAACTTTTTTTCAAAAGCTTGGCTAGGATATTATTTAGTTGAGTGCTCTTGAGACCTTGCTGTTCACATTTGTCACAACCTTAATGCACTAGTCACTTTGTTACAAACACTTTTATGCACTTTATAGTAAATACTATAACCACTTTATGCATTTATTGTTTTAAGCATTGTCACTTTAAATGCAGTATCAGCCACCTTTTACACAGTGGCAACACGCTTTATTACTGTACAGCAACACTTGATATTTCAACCATATCTACATTAGGGCTGCATCAGCCATTCTTATCTTTTTCATTCATCACTTTTTATTTACCCTCCAGCACTGTTTTTGTCTAAGGCTATTGCCTTTCTTATCACTATTGTGGGCACTATTTGTTGCTATACACGTTGCTATGGGAACGTGCCGCCCGTCATTGCGTTTGTACGTTATGACATCATTTAGTGGGCAGAGCTATCACACGCATGCGCCCTGCACTCAGCAGAACGCCGACGGCAACACAGTACACCTAGTGTAAGTCAGATTGCCACTTAGTATTCACTTATGTTTCTAATTTAGCATGTATATATTTGAGAGTTTTGTTGTGTTACTGTTTGTGTCTTGATCCTGAGGAAAGTCCACAAGCTGGACTGAAACGTTAATCCTATTTTAATGAATTAAATAAAGCATTGAATATTTTATCTCCAACCGTGAGTGCAATACTTATTGTTTTTTTGGATAGTTGAACCCTGGCCGGCACCCGGCAAAGACATTTTGTATTTATATAGCTTGTGTGCAAGGACTCACTGTTTTATTTATATGTATGTATGTATGTGTATGTGTGTGTGTGTATGTATATGTGTGTGTGTATAAGTAGAGATTGTAGCCGTATTAGTCCAGTGATGTAGATGTAAAAAACAGATAAAATTCTTATCTTGTAATACCTTTTTTATTGGACTAACAGAATTTTTTAATGACAAGCTTTCGGGAGAACCTCCCTTTCTGAAGTTTTTGTGTGTGTATATATATATATATAAATATATATATATATATATATATATATATATATATATATATATTCACAGTTGCAAGAAAAAGTATGTGAACCCTTTGGAATGATATGGATTTCTGCAAAAATTGGTCATAAAATGTGATCTTATCATCTAAGTCACAACAATAGACAATCACAGTCTGCTTAAACTAATAACACACTAAGAATTAAATGTTGCCATGTTTTTTATTGAACACACCATGTAAACATTCACAGTGCAGGTAGAAAAAGTATGTGAACCCTTGGATTTAACCTCCTTTGGCAGCAATAACTTCAACCAAACGTTTCCTGTAGTTGCAGATCAGACGTGCACAACGGTCAGGAGTAATTCTTGACCATTCCTCTTTACAGAACTGTTTCAGTTCAGCAATATTCTTGGGATGTCTGGTGTG